CAAGCTGTGATCATCAACAATGGCTTCTGAAAAAAATATTAAATAAATTTCACAGTTGTTGAAAAATTTCAGCGTCTTCAAAACTTTTTCCATGTGTCATTTCACATTATTACACATAATTTAATTTATAGACATCTGTGGTTTGATTTCTTTGCATGTGTGGATCAGTTGTTACTGACATCTGGTGAGAATTTCATGTCAAAAACACCTTTAGAAATATATTTACTTAGACAGTTACTAATGTTTTCAATACGTTTTTTTTAACCTGCTGTATATAGCAAGCATTTAATATTATTTAAATTAAATTGTATTGATTATTGTATTGCTAATCTTACTCTTTATTAAATTTCATTAAGAATACACTCACACATTGCTGAGAGAAAAGAGATGACATTATGCTGTTATAAAGTTTATTTATTTTGTTTATATAATCAAAAAAATTATATTTGATGTTACATTAGAGTGCTTGAAATCTGGACTGCTCACAAACCTATAATAAGAACTACTTTATGCAATCACAGACGTATAATGGCTTCTCTGGGTTGCTAAGATTGCATCCAATTTCATTGTCCATGAGCGATGACAACATTTGTTTTATTGGATTCTTTGTGCGCACTCCAGTCCAGTAGGTGGCAGTGTTGCACACTTTTCGCGCGGGTTTCCTTAAATGCCGAATACTTCCTGAACCGTAGGATGATTTAAACCGTGTCGGTGTCCTGACACATTTGCGAGAAAATCGATATTATACTTATTCAGTATTCAGTGAATCGTGTGGGTGAATCGAAACCTTTGGTGTTCTGCTGCAAAAACTTTTAAGAATCAGGTGAGTGCGACACTTCAACAGAGACCTCCAGCAGCGCATACAAGGACGCTTTTTAAATGTTGCTAACTCTCCTCTTTCATTCAGTCGTAGCTGTGGAAATGAAACAGGAGTACCAGGACCTCATCCTGCAGGCATGTGATGCTTCATCTCTGCGAGTCGGTGCTAAGATCCAGACCCTGTGGAGTGGTTATGGGGAGATAGTCCGGCTGCACCTGGAGGGCTGTGACCGGCCCTCCGTGGTTGTAAAACACGTTAAGTTTCCAGAGGAAGCCGAGCACCCCGGGGGTTGGGACACAGATCGATCCCACACACGTAAAGTGAAATCCTACCAGGTGGAGACACATTGGTACCAAAACTATTCCACCAATCAGAGCTGTCGCATCCCTGCCTGCCTAGCTGCCTGTTCCTATGGCGATGAGATGCTGATCGTGCTGGAGGATCTGGACGTGGCCGGTTACGATCAGAGGAGGTATAAGCTTAGAAACTCTGAGAAAAGCTTCACATAGCATGTGGCATGAAATCCATAAAAGTCTATGAAGTGTTCATGTTATTCAGATATACTATCCCCCACCCCTCCTCCGTGACTTGTGTATATTTGTGTATGTTTATAAAGTATATATGTATACCTAAGCAGTCATGGCTGATTTCCCACCCATAGACAGCATAAAGCTAGTATAAACGTGGAATTTGGTGAGTGAATCATCAGCTTAAATTGGCACTGAAGTCTGATTCTGACCATGAAAACCACAGCTACCCTGCACCAATCCAGTACATTACTGTAGACTAAACAGTACTACAAACTAACCAGACAAACTAACCTTCCCAGTCTGCACTATACTGTCTAGTATTTTTATGCAAACTTTAACCCCTGATTATTGGGCCAGATTATATCTACATATTTGTTTGCCCTTTTTTTTCATCTCCTCCTGTGAGCACTGGTGATGGCTACACCAATAGGATTGCATTTTATGTGTTACTGTTTCTTTCCACAATCGGTTATTGTTGCGAAGGAAAACAGTGACAGGAAATAATAAGTCCCTACAAACCTAAAGTAATGAACCTGTTTTGAAAGTGTAAGGAGCAAAAAAGGACATACTGTTGTGCTGAAATGTAGAGAGTAAAGGTTAAACTTCATTAGAAAAATAAATACTCAAGTGTAGTACAGATACCTGAAAATTCTACTTAAGAACTGTAATGAAGTGTTTTGTACTTGCATTATGTTTTTCCATTTTTCTGCCACTGCTGTGAGAGTGTGCAGTAAAACAGGAGGCCTGCATATAAACTATGGCTTGGCATTAATGCAGTAAACACTGGATTCTCTTGTAGACATCAAAAATGTTCATAAATTGTGTTTTAGGTGAGGGAGGAGATAATTTAACTTTCTAAGGGCATCTTATTGTAATATTCATTTGTCATTTTAGGTCTGAAGGCGCTTTTTTTGATGTTTAGTTATTTTTAATTTTATTTCTGTTTAATGTAACTTAAACACTGTTCAGTTTCAGGTGCCTCATTTCCAAATTAACTGCTGAAATAGGCAGAAGCTCTTCCGGGGGTCGTTTGATGTATCTGAGCACTTTCAAAGTAGTTCTGAAAGGAAGTAGTTCAGATCAGAGCCTTTATTAGCCTGGATAGGTATATCTTTAAAGCCATGATAAAGACATGCCAAATAGTGAAACAAACATAATTTATGGTGGTTAAAAAATATATATTTTATTCTTTTTAGGACGAGCGTTACAGACAGGGAGATAAAGGCTTGCCTGAGCTGGCTTGCTCACTTTCATGCTCTCTTCTTGGGTGTGGCACCAGAGGGTCTGTGGCCTGTCGGTACCTACTGGCACCTGGAAACCCGGCCAGACGAGTTGGAAGCCATGGATGATGCTGAGCTCAAAGCAGCAGCAGGCGACATTGACAGGATACTCAGTGAGTGCCGCTTCAAGACCATCGTTCATGGAGATGCCAAATTAGCTAATTTCTGTTTTTCCCAGAGTGGGAAGGATGTGGCAGCTGTGGACTTTCAGTATGTGGGCGGGGGCTGCGGGATGAAAGATGTTGTATATTTTCTAGGAAGCTGTATGGAGGAGAGGGAGTGTGAAAAGAGGGTACCAGGACTACTGGACTACTATTTTTCAGAACTAAAGCTATCGTTAAAAAAAGACGTAGAGTTTCATGCCCTTGAGAAAGAGTGGAGGGAAATGTTTGCATTTGCTTGGACAGACTTTCATCGTTTTCTGCTGGGATGGAGGCCGGGACACTGGAAGATCAACCGATACAGTAAACAGCTGACAAAGGAGGTTCTGCGCAAGCTGAAACAGTAATCAGTAGTTTCCATGCAGCAAGTCTTCCTGGGATAAACACACAAAGCACCCAGGAAATCTGTACACACCCATATCCATTCCTGTGTCATTTAATGAAGCATGCTTATCACGTCATTTGTGGGAACATAAGAGTTGTTAAACTGCTAAGGCAGTTTTACTTTTCCATATGGCCTACTGCAAATTCGCTGCCCAGATGTGAATTAATATCAGCACTTTAAAATCAATACCGCACGTTACAAAAAGCAAGAAATATGGCTGAAAACATTTCTGGATTTTATTCTAGTACATGCAAAGATGTATTCAGTGGAAATTATTCCGCATGTGCAATATTTATGAAACACAGATAAAAAATAAAGGCAACTAATAGCATTATTATTGTAGAATGTGGGGTATAAACAATCCTAAAGTAATAACTTCTACAATCTGTGCGAATATTTTGAGAAAGGAAAAACTCAATAATTTTGCGGCACTTGAGGAGGTGCTAAATACTTTAGCGCTGAGACTTAAAGTCTGGCTGTGTGGTTGGACAAAAGCATAACATTTTCCCCAAATGTGGTTTGCCTGTTAGGCATCTTACACTGCCCTCTGGTGGTGGAGTGCCATTCCAACGATCAGTCCTTTGTTTAAGAGGTTCATTTGAAGTAGGCGTGGAAAGATTGAAAATCTTACAAATAAAACAAATACACTTAAAAAAAAAAAAATTATCCAAAATGTCAATGATGAATAATGAAATGTAAGTCTCAAAAATAGTTTTCTTAAAGATTAATTGTATTACATGTTTTTCCACTTTTAGTAACCAAATGGTAAAGCAATACAAAACTATACTGTGTAAGAACATCATGTCACAGAGGACCTAAATTTGCTTAAAATTTACCAGACTGAGTACCAAATGTGGTGAATAAATTACGATATTGCATCATATCATCAGCGAAGTGCAGCACCAGTGTTGTGAATTGTATGCACGCGCAAATATGCTGCCATCTACATTTTCTATAGATATAAATAATTTAAACTAGGCTCTTTTTAGAGTTTATTGCACTCCACTTTGAAATAACATGGCTATATATAAAGCCAAAACCTGCTGACTGGGGGCATGAAGTCATTATTCATATTTATGTTTGGGGAATTAAATGACATTGCTGAAGAAAAAAAAATAAAGCTGCGTGAGTCATTCTTTGCTGGATGATTATGTAGTATTTTTCCTGACACTCATCAGACCAAACAATATATGTCCAGTCTCCACATGTCCAGTTTTGGTGATTGGTGCAGATTTTATCCTCAGTTGACAAGAGTGGCATCTGGTGCGGTCTGGCATCAACGGGATTTTTTAAAAATTGGCCCAGGGAACTGCTGCTGAATGGCTGTTTTCTCTTTTTTTGGTTGTGTAGAAAATCCAGATCAGCACCAACAACCATGCAATCATCAAAGTCAGTTAAATCAACTTGCTTGTCCATTTTGACGTTAGGTTTAAACTTGAGTTCGTCTTGACCACGTCTATGTGCCTAAATGTATTGAATCATTGTCATTATACACTTGCATTAATGACTTATTGAAAAGGCATACCTAATAAAATGACCAGGAACGAAATACTGGTTCTTATATTTATTGAGTCTGCGTGTTACTGTTGTCTGCTTTGAAATTACAATGTATATGGTCAACTTCTAAAACACCTTTATATCACAAGACTATAAACTAATAGATTGAAACCACTATACTAAACTAGAACTGTAGATTTTCAATTCTAAATTTCAAAGTGAAATCAAAAACACGAAACTATACTAACTTTAATGCGTATTTATTACTGCGGTGCAAGGTTTTGGTTTTGTTTTGTTTTTTCTTTGTTTTTTTGATCAGCTGTTGCAAAGAGAATGACGTGTTTCCGCTCTCACACCCGACATTACAACAACAAGGCAGGCGAGCCGAGCTGGGACGGGGAGTCGACGCTGACTGACTGACTGGAGAGTAAACAGGTACAAACAGAAAGCCCTCTGATGCAACGTGTTCTCATTTATTATCGTTAGACCTTTAAATGTGCTGTCACCTTGGGAGAAGCTAGCTAGTCCCACCGAATTATTACCAAACCACAGCGACGCTAGCATTAGCCAAGAAGCTAACGGCGTTACCCTGGCTTCATAACCAAGGGTCAAAATAAAAGCCGAGTTGATTGGAGTGACCGGCCCAGTGAGGCTAGTTTGCTATGTGTGTTAGTGTGTTCGCCTGAGGATTGTACAGATAAGCAGCGTTAATAGCTCACCTAACGCTAAACCGTCAGGTTTAACCCGACTCGGTGTGATTTATAGTTAAAGTTGCTTTAATTGTTTACTGTAAAGATGAGCAAACATGGCAGGTATCAGGAAGTTTAACCGAAACTCCCGACCCCTCCGCCTCACCTGCGGTTATTTTCGCTTGCGTGTGCTACATTTTGTAGATACATTGCTTTTCATAGTGAGCCAGCTGTGAATTGTTGTTGCAGTGAGCTGGTGCATTGCTTATTACAGTATGCAAAAGTGAGCTTTTTGTTGATCAGTTTCCTCAGTTGCAGGAAGTTTGGGGCAGAGTGTCAGACAGGTAGGACAGATGAACAATTATAGACTGGTGACCTGCCAAGGGTCTACACCAGCTCCAGCCTCGTAACCCTGAATGGTTAAGCTGGAGTTTATCTTTATTAATCATTTATAGCTTGTAAGTTAGTTTATTTATCCTATATTTTAAGAGTTTTTTTTGGCACACTTGGGGAGGGATTTAACTCTGTCACAGACAGGGACAGCTGCAGTAGTTATCCCTTTAATACTTCTTTGAAGTTTACCTGAAGGATGACCACACAGATTTCCATGTTGCATGTGTGCTTAAAATTTAAATTTCAAAAAATACAATTATAGATATTAGAAAAATACTTTGTATAAATCAAAACAAAATGTTTTAGGATAATGTGTAATCTATAAATGCTACTCTCTCTCTTTTTTAAAAACAGAAATCCAACAACCTGCTACCAGAAGAATTCCAACTCATAAAAGATCTAGAGATGAAGCAGATATTGTAAAAGGGGACCCACCAGCCCCTTACCTGCAGCATTGACTGTTTTTGGTGTTATACAAGTACCAGAATGGAGAGAATTTGAGGTAGCTTACTCCTCAGGACAGTCCTGAGTTGTGTCAGTGAAGGTTCCCCAGAGCCCACTTTCTAGTAATATGAGCCATGGACTCTGGGGCAGTTGATAGTCCTGTGACCTTGGTCATTAAGGCCCCCAACCAGAAGTATGAAGACCAGACCATTAACTGTTTCCTTAACTGGACTGTGGAGAAGCTGAAAAGTCACATCTCCAGTGTGTACCCCAGCAAGCCGGTGAGTAGCTTTTTGTCCGTCTGAAAGAAACCAGAATCATGATTATTTTTGATTAATAATCATATTATATATAATTTGAAACAGTAATTCATTTTTTCAGTAGGCTGCTTGACATTTATTAAAGGCATTTATCATCAGTTTACAGATATAAGTTTAAAAAAAATAGATGTAAATGAGATGATGTACACCATGTTGTCCAATAGGAAGAAAGGCCTGGGCTGCTGGTCCCTAGCAGCTTGCAAAATGCATAATAGAGTCTTTCCACAGGTCCAGTGGTTCAAATCTTGGTCCAACTTTAACTTCCTCTAGATAGAGCTTAGTGACCAAAGATTGTTTCTGTTCTGTTGTTCAAAGCTCAACTACAGCACCATTAAGTTTCACTTTTAGGAAGAAACAAAAATGCGCTTTGTAAAGGAAACGGATGTGCTTGATATATAAATGCAACAAAAATAAGAGATGTGTAGAAAAAATTAGTACAAAGAGCAAAGTATTTGTTTTTGAGATTCTTTTATTTAATTCATTAATTGTTGACAGACAACATCTTCATTGAATCCAAGTGATTGCTGAGCCCAACCTCATATTATGTTTGATACAGAATAATCAGATTTTCTGTGGGGCGAGTTTTTGTGTGTGTGTGTGTGTGTGTG